CGGGATGCTCTCTGTTGCTCATTTGATGCTTGTAAAGTGGAGACATTAGCAAAATTTTTATATCAAGTGAAGTGACTCAAATACTAAAATTGAACGATGGGATCTAACAAGCAGCGTGTCAATTTGCTAGATACTCTAAATGTAGAGGCAGTTGAGACAATTTTCACTCATACATATCTCTATCCCCACCAACACTCAAGGCATGCTGTTATTACCTTCTTAGTAGGCTACCTTTTTTTCATATCATTTGACAATATACACGCTATTGTTCAGAAGTTAGACAACAATGTTAAATGGTGGTCCGTGTAAGCTAATTTACTCGGGTTCTTCTATTTGTTTTCATCTCCATTTATGGGCAAAACAATCAAACCAAACTATTCAAATTTTAGTAATTGGTGGATTTATCTTCTAACAAGTATTATTTCTATAAGGTCGACTACCTCACATTTGTTAGTACTATATTATTTCAGTGTTGAGAATTGATACAATTGCACAACTATTTTGTAGATCTGATTGCAGGTTTTAACTCTGAAGTACATAAAATTTCTGCAAGCGAAGATGGATGTAAATGCAATTTGCTTGGATTGTTTCTCGATATGGCGGAAGAAATTGGTTGTAGAATTGTTGGTATAAGACTTTAAGCATTATATTGTTTTTTGCTATTTTTATTGATGTTTTGATACAGTTTTGTAGTTACTTTGTTCTATTTATCTGGAGTAGTTGATATTTTAAGGATGTTGTATAACTATGATGATTAAGGATATTGAATGTAATTGAAATTTATATATTTTCAGGCCTTTATAACTTTCAAGTTTAAATATCATACATGTACAGGATATTGATAATGTTTCATGGCCAATAAAAACGATAGTTAGGTCGTTATGTCAAAATACAAGTACTGCTTCACATAACGATATAAACTTCGTTTCTATAACACAAAACGGTATTGATGTAGTTTCACTACAAAAATGCACTCATTCATATGACGTCACTAAAATCGTTTCTGTGACACAAAACAATATTGATGTCATTTTACTATTTTAGTACAAAATACACATTCATATAACGACTTTGAAATTGTTCCAAAGACATGAAACGATAATGATGTCGTTTCAGTACGAAAATTACACCAATTAATAAACGACATTGAAATCGTTATTGAGACACAAAACGATATTGATGTCGTTTCAGTACCAAATACACATTGTTGTAATGATTTTAATAACAACATTGAGATTGTTAAAGACTCATAAAACACAAAAAAAGTTGTTTTACTAAAAAACTTGCACTGTTTGCACGACATAGCGTGTTGTGCGTGTTTGTCTAACGAACAATTTGCTCTCTAATGGTGAACAACTTAGAGGTGCGCACATGTCGGCATGGACCACGCGCGTACTCTAGATCATTACCAAAACGACTTTGAAGTAGTTTATTTTGATACGTAACGACATTGGTATCGTTATGTATCAAACCCACGAAATAACAAAATGATATTCATGTCATTTCAAACAATATATACGACATTGATATCATTCTAGACATTGATATCGTTATGTATCAAACCCATGAAATAACATAACGATATTCATGTCGTTTCAGTACATTTTGACAACGTTGATAACATTTCAATTCAAATTATAACTAAAATGACATTCATATCATTTCCTTTAATACATCTATGTTGTTTTGGTACAAATATGACGACATTGAGATCATTTCAGTTCAAATCATAACTACAATGACATAGATTAGCTAAGAAAAATATATTTTGCTATTAAGACAAAATCAACAATTAATTTTAATTACATATTTTATGGGATACATCTTTTCAACCACAGATTTCATCAACTTTTATCAAAATATGTTAAAAATCTAATTTTAATTTCACCAAATAGGGGCTTTGTAATGATATATATATATATTTTGGAGAATGTATACTTAAAAGGTAAGATTTTTTTTTTTTCCTTTTTTTTGAGTTTACGGATAAAATTATTTTAAAAAATGAGTGATTGAAAATGAATTTGAGAAAAAATGGGGCTCAAACGGGACATTTATTTTGATAAAAGTTTAATTATTAAAATATATTAAAAAATCTTAACTTTTTAAACATAAATAGCTTATTTATTATTTTCAATTTTGAGTGGTGAAGAAAGAATTTTTTTTAAAGCTTATTTATAGGGATGACAAAAAAATTCCTTCAAACCCAATATGGGTCTCACCCCAAACGGGGCGGGGATTATTCACTTAATAGAATATTCTGGTCGAAGAAGGGGCAGGGGAATTCTCCCATGGTGGGTATTGGTAACAAGGGACCTTCCCCGTTTAATTTTAATTTATTTTTTTAAGAATTCAATACTTTGAATGAAAAACGAAATTTCATTAGTTTTAATAGAAGATGACAACTAAAATTTTCTAAAAAATATGACAGACAATCAAAGGCTTAATGTATCAAATATATTTAAATAAATTAACTTTTAAAAATTAATAAATTAATTAAAAATATATAATTGCCTCATTTTAATGAACGCGGACAATAAAATGAATTATCAATTTTTTTTTTAAATAATCAAATAGTAAAGGATGCAAGGGCCCATTCTATCTTTTTTTTTTTTTATACCCAGGCGAGATGGACCCAGCACCCGACCAGGGGGCGGCCGCGTGTGCTGGGCTCCCCTGGACCGACCGGCGACAACAGCGCCTGTGCCTGGTTCGTCTTCTTCACAGATTTTTTTTTTTTTGATGGGCTGCGTATTTTTTTTTTCAAATGAACATCCATTTGTTTGCTCTCCTTTGCTTCTCTGTTTTTACTTCCATTGTGACTAGTAAAAAGTCATTTGATAATGTTATTCAATGCTGCTTTCAAAAATGTCCACCGGGTGTTTGATGAAATGTCCAAATGGTGGAAGTTTTTTTCTTTACAAAGTTTGACAGGGAGTTCTGTTGGCCAGGAGAAGGTTTGCACGTCCTTGACATAATCTTCATATTGACTGTTTTCAGCATTTTGTTCGTCATCATTACAAGAGATTTGTTCATAATCTTGAACAATTTCTGCATCAGGATGATCACTTCCTAGTTTAACCAATTGCATTTTTGATTTGTGAATGCTGTCATCTACTTGAGTTGTCTCAATGACTCCATTTCCTTCAATTTTTTCAACAGTTTCAATTGGCAGAGCTTTCTTTATAGTCGTTGTTTGCGTTTTCATGGTTGATAATGGGCCAACTGTCAATAAGTGGCAGCAATAATTCTCGCCCACCTTCACCATAATTCGTAGCAATATTTCTTGGCATAGAACTACACGTGCATATTATTTTATCTTCATCACGAAAATTCTTAGTCTCATCTTCTTCTTCACTAAATTGCATCTCTACAGCATTCTTTTTTGCTTCAATATTCTCTTGCATTTCTTGGTTATTTTCTAACATGATTTTATCAATATGAACACCCTCAATGGTGTCATCATCCTTGGCTAACTTGATTTCTTCTTCACGATTCTGCATTTTATCCTTCAGCTCAGGTTTAAGAGGCAATTTATCATCAAATGTTGGCAGATGGAACTCTTCCTTAATAGAAGTCACAGAGCCATCAGCAATAGGCATCTCATTCTGAATCAAGAAATTTTAGGTATGAGGATTCTGACTTATAAAAGTGTTTAGCTCAGTGGAAATGTTCCATATATTTACTTCTCTCTTGCAACTATCTTGATCGACTCCGATAAAACTGGAACAATAGAGAGAAGATTGCACAAGATATGTAGAAAACGAGAACTGGTCCTTCGTTTATTTAAAAAAAATAAAAAATACTTGATCAATTACATCCAAGAAATATTAAAAATCAGCATCTATCTGTTAGATATTTTTTAATGAGCTTAGATATTTCAAGTTGCGATACTTGGTGTTTCTTGCTTATGATAAGTTTAGTGAAGGTGTCTGTTAGATTTGTACTCCTAGGTTGTAATACAATATCTTTTGTCTTTTTTGTCCATCACATATTTATTAAAGTTGTTGATATTGAACTCAATTCAAATAGGTTTATTTCAGAATTGGTTTTTAAGCATTTGTGAGCTCTTCAAGTTGTTGACATAAATTTAAGAAGTTGATATAATTCTGTAGCCTTTAAACATCATCATGTCAAATATATGATAAAATCGTTGGTTATTGGAATTTGGAATCCCGAAAGACATAAATCTTGTGTATAACAAATTTTTGATAATGAATTTATATAAAGCCCTTGCTTGGTCCCCATTATTTTCAATATACGTTTTTTTTCTCTTATTTTTAACCACGTTTTTAATGACTTTGCTCTTACTTTTGGATTGTTTGGCATTTAGGGCTTTGAAGCCTAATGTTTTCATTTCTGGTTTGAGTATTTTAAAGTACACATTCTCACATTGATGTTTTTGTGGTTGATCTATTAATGTATGTGTTGCTTCATGCTTGAATTAAAGCATTGCTAAGCCTAAGCATTACTCATTTATGTGTTGCACACTTGCTGAACTTCGACGTTGACCAGTCAATGTCCGTTCGGGCTCAACTCCAAGGTTGGGTCAATCCCTGTACTCAAGTGTCCACCTTCGGCGACTAATCATGGAGTTTACGCCTTGACTCCTCAAGACGCAGACCAGGTAAATCGCGGGATGTGCCCCTGGCCAATGTCCCCCTCCACTGATCTGTTAAAGTGCTGAACGAGTCAACACATGTTGCATATTGTTTTCTAGGAGAATTTCTAGCTTCCAAGATAAATCGTGACTTTTAGGAGATACATCTGAAATGTCTGAGAACCCTGTTCTTTGCCAATTGCTATGATCCGCGGGGCAGGGCCCATTCCATCTTAATCGGGCAACGAGGCGGTACAAGACGAAAAATTACCCGACTGAACGGGGACGGGGGAGGTTGCCTGACCCCAATCCTACTTATTTATAAACAAAACATGATAAAAGCGAAGAGTCAAAACCAGACGAGAATAAAAAATCTTTGAAGCCTCAGGCTTGGATGTAAGCCATGGATTCCGCAAACTCGACCGGCCTCAGCTCCAACGAGTACGACATCGTTTCCAAGGTAATACTCCCTCCCCATAATCACATACACGTGTGTTTGTATAATCTGATTGATATATCATTCAATTCTTTTTTCAAAATTCTTTTTGAATTCGACTTTTTCCATTTTCCATGGATCTGGAATTGTAATATAATTTTATTTGAATGTCTACATGATTGATCCCGGAAAATTTGACCAGGATTCCACCTTGTTTAGCTGTTTTCGAGTTTTTGGCAGTTGTAAGTGCTCTTTTGTAGAAATCCCATCCAAAAGTTGGCATGTTTGAACTAGGAAAAAGGGACGAGTAGTTTCAAAACTATAGATTTTTCAATAAAATCAAATTTTATTATTAATTTTATTAATAGAACAAATGGTAGTAAAACCCATAATTATAAATATAAATATGTATATTTTGCTGTATGTGATTATTATATGATTATTGTGGGCAAAAAAAAAAAAAAAAACCATTTCATATTTAAACTCTTACACGGTAGGATGGGAAAAGATTGAAAGGAAATGAGTATTTCCATTTCTTTTACTGCAAATCCGGCTCAAGAAGACGGTTCCACAAGGTCCCATATTTATTGAAGATAAATCTTAAGAAATTTGATTTCCCCAAAGAATTCATTAGATTCTGCTGTCCTTTTCTCCTCCCCCACCCCCCACAAAAAAAAAAAAGAAAAAGAAAAGGCATTTGTCCAGCCAATCCTAGTGACAATAATATATATGTTGCCTGGTTGCTTATTGACATGCTGACCTACAGGAGGAGGATTGTTCTACTTCTGTGGATGTGGATCATGAGACAACATGCTGGGGTTGTGGGCTACGAGTTCTTGTTTCTCCATATGCGTCTGTTTTCAAATGTGGCTGGTGTGGATCTATAACAAAGCAAAGCACGTTGAAATGTGAAAACCAGTACTTCAAGTGGAGGCGCTTACGAGACCAGTGTTTTGTCAGTATTGTCCTTCTATTTATGCTATGCTTTATGTGTAAGCATCCAATACTTCAATCTACATTGTTGAAGACTCCATTTTCTCCCTCCCCAAGTTGTTGCACGTGGAATTCATTTTGATCAATCTGTTTGATAAGGAACATTGAATTATACATATTGCCTTATTAATGTGCTTCACTAGTATTGTTATTCTAAATCTTGACTAGACTGGATAGTTATAGCCATTTTTCTAATTCAAGAAAATAGAAGTTTATTCAAATGAAATTTTGGTCAAGTTCTAATGCAGTCAATATATGAAGAAAAATGGGAATTTTCTGGTGATCAGATAAAGTTAAAAAAGCAAAGTCGGATTTCCCTTGTATTTTGGATGTCTTAGACATTTAGGTGTGACGGTTGTTTCCCTTGTATTTTGGATTTCTTAGACATTTAGGTGTAACAGTTTTAGGTAGGCAATGGAGTAGACTTTCTAGGAAAAACGCAAGACTGTCCTAATTATATTTGTCTTGAACCTGAATAACTTTCCTTAATTTTTTCTTGAACCTGTGACCATGTACTGTTTTTCAATTACTAAACCTGAATATCAGCCTGTGTTATGTCATGTGGTCTGTGTTAATTTAAGTCGTAATTTGTTATTTTTGACAATTCTAATGCTGGACATGTAGCCATGTCTGCACTCTGTGTTGCACGGATACTTCAACTAAGATAGCATGTCCATGTTTTACACGTGTCGGACTCATGTTGGATATCGACACTGTTTCGACACTCTACCACGCTCATTTTTTTCTTTATCAAGAATATTATATGTTTTTAACTCAAAATTATTATAAACAATAAATAGTTATTCATATTTAAAAGATTTCAACAAAAAAAATTAATAAAAAGTAAAAAATTAAATTTATACTATATAAATAAATAATTTTAAAGATTTTAATTAACGTGTCAGCAATGTGTTGTGTCAGTTTCTTTGAAAAAATCGCTTGTCATCATATCAAACACGTGTTATGTCGGACATACGTATTCATGTCAGTGCATCATAGGCAAGGGGAAATGCTATCTGTTATTTATCAAATGATACATGGAGTGACGACCAAATAATGTAACAAATGACTGCTTTTAATAACTTTGTGTTTTCAGACGTGCCATTCTGTCTCCATTTATAAAAGAATGGAATAAGGAAGCTTGTGATCATGGTGCTGAAAATGGCACGAATCCAATGGCTATCTTGCAATAGAGTACATAACATCACCGAAAGCGTAGCAAGGGATTGTGTTGCGCACGGACACTCCAACTAGGGTAGCGTGTATGTATCCGACACTACCATGGTCGTTTTCTTTCTTTATTAGAAATATTATATATTTTTAACTCAAAATTATTATTAAATAATAAATAGATACTCATATTTAAAAGATTTCAACAAGAAAAATTAATAAGTAGAAAATTAAATTTATACTATATAAATAAATAATTTTAAAGATTTTAATTAACGTGTCGTGTCAGTACTCTTTGAAAAATCGTGTGTCGATATATCCGACACGTATCGTGTCAGACACACGTATCCATGTTAGTGCATCATAGTCTGCACTTGTATCTGAGGTAAACATAACATATGCGCAAATGGTGTCAATTATGACGTTATCAAATTCATCATCTTCCTTCTATTGACCAAGCAAATGCAATTATTATATTTTCTTAATTTACAGGATTTTCTATTTTTGAGTTTAATGGATATAAATATTCACTATGTTCTTCTTGTTGTACAGGTGGTGGTGTTTGGGCAGTTTTTCCTATCATCTTTTCCATCAGTTTCTTTTGTGGTGTTTTTCACTTAATAGTAGCAGTAATCTTGTCTATATCTACTTTGTCTACATTTTGCTTAGCGGCATTTCGACCTGCTGGTTCTCCACCAACTATATTGTGGGGTAGCTACCCCACTGTGGGGAAAGGTGGACTGGAGAACTTCACCTTCTGTCACTATTGCTCGAAGCCAAAATCGCCAAGGACACATCATTGCCGTTCATGCGGAATTTGTATATTGGACATGGATCATCACTGCCCATTTGTAAGTATTGCACGCTGTTCCCAGCTTAAGAAAAATGTTGCTCCTTTAATAATATTTTGTCCTTGAATGGTAGTTTTCAGTACCATCTGACAACATCAGAGCTTCCACGATTTAAAAGCTATGTATGTTTGGGAAGTGATTATATTTTAATCACATCTGGTCAAACATCATTTTTCTCCATATTTTGTAGGTTCCATAACTACGAACCACTTATGTCCACACATTCCATAGGACCAACAACTTATTATCGCTTAAATATTAATTTATCCACTTCCCAAACATGTACATATATGTCATTCTTGTTTTTTCAAACAGTCTCAGTTAAATTAAATGCAAAAAGAAATTTGTAAACTGTAACGAAGCTTTCAGGTGCACCAAGTCTTATTCATATATGATGACGATTATGAGATATTTTTGATCTGAAGATACCTTCGACTGCATCAAAAATTGACTCCACTTTGAATTGTATGATACGGTTCGAAGTTCTTTGATTGGTGTATTGAACTATTTGTGAAATTTTTCACCTTTGATGACTGAATATTTTTGAAATTTTGGATCCCCTTTCTTTTGCATTGTTGCATTCTTTTGGTGAGAATGTCCTTGATTTAAAGTAAATATGTTTTAGCAATGACATCAACCACACAAAAAATTCAGTTTGTCTAGAGATATTCACTCACCTTCCCCCCCCCCCCCCCCCCCCCCCCCAAACAATTCATGTCTACGACAACAATATTGGAAAAACTCTTATCAGGATATCTGTTTCTTAATGGAAAATAGAAGCTAAATCTAGGTATGTGAAATTTAGAGAAGATTGGACAGCGCTAATCTCAAACTCTAATGAATCAATAAACAACTGAAGAGGTAAAATAGTAGACGAATCAAAAAGGTACCAGGACGTTCTGTGCTGGATATCTTGTACCTACATTCGCAGCCCAAGAACTTTATCCTATTGAGCTCCCTCAACTTAGTCCTGTGACAATAGCATTTGTGCTTGTTTAATAAGTTCTGTAGCTACTATTGTGCACTTTGCTAAATTAACTGTGAGGTGTTTGTGAATTATTACCAACCTATTAATTACTTCACACTGCTTCAAATCTTTAATGAAAGAGACAAATATGTAACTGGAAGATCTTGGCATGATTACTATTTCTGTTATATATATTCGGGCAATTCCTATTTAATAATTAGCTTTTGTTTCGTCATAAGCAGATCGGGAACTGCGTTGGCGCAGCAAATCACCGGAGCTTCATTCTCTTCCTCATGTCAGCAGTCATCAGTACGATTTATGTCACTATCATGTCGTCATATTCTGCACTTCATATATCACCACCATTAAACCATAGGCCGGTCAGCTTTGCTAACAGTGAGTTGATTTTCAAAGCCTTAAAAGAAACCATTCTTACCTTCCTGAGATCAGAGGTGTTTCTATCAGCAAGAGGGCTCGTACTTGTTTACCTGTTTATCTCTAGTGTTTCAGTGGAGATTGGTTTGAGCCTGCTCTTGTGGCAACAACTCTGTTACATATATGAAGGAAAAACCTACTTGAGTCATCTACGTGTGACGGATAGTGAAGAATCTGCAGAAAAAGATTGTCAAAACCTTGTTCGGTTTTTTGGTTGCCCATATGTTGCTGCAACATATTTGCCGAGTTTTTGGAAATCTGGGAAAAGTCACAAGAAGTGAAGCTCTAGAGGTATGTCGACTTTTTCCCTATTACATCAATTTTCACGAGATTGAACCTCCAGGTTTCTATAAATCCATTTTGTTATGATACATTTAAGTCCCAAGGCAAATAGAGATTGAAGATATGGGTGTTGGGTCCTTTCTTAAACTTGTTTCACACTGTTGGATTGAAACTAAAAGTGTGTACACTCGTATATGTTCACAACTCTTTTGACTATTTCCATAAAGAAAAGAAACAGAAGTCAAATTTCAACTACATGCAGGGGACACTTCTTGAGTAGTATTGGACACGTTGAACCACTCAAATACCTAATTACCTGTGAAAAAGTAATATAATTTTCTTACAACGGAACAAAGATTTAATATTATTTGGTTCCAATTCTGTATTAGGTAATGAAAGATGTGAACAACTAATAGATTGAGCTACACTTGTTCAATGCGATGAATCCAGTTTTAGAGGATATAGGTACATGACGTGTATGCAGTGTGACTTAAAACGTAGATGCAAGAGTAGTATCAAGAAAGCAGCAGAAAAATATACATAAATACACACATTTAGATGCATTAATATCTGTATTTTTATTCATAACTACATTTCGATGTGTTGTGTTCTACTTTCTGAAAGAACCTCCATGTCCATGCTTCTTAGAATGAAAAAAGGGCTGAGAATGATGGCCATAGATAAATGACTGATTTTGGAGCCATTTTATATTCCAAGTTTACTATGTTGGGGTAGCAAACTTGTCACCGAAGTAGTGGTAATGCCTTGATCAAAAAACAACTTGGATTTAGAATCTTGTTTGCTATTAACTTACATATTTAGTTCATCGTGGTGTAGATCTGTTTTGATAACAAGTTGACTTTGTTTCTTTTTCACAGGTTGGAGGAAAAATGACCTCGTCTGGAGTATTGTTATCCCCAGTTTTAGAGTTGTACTTGTCAAAGAATAGCTAGAATCTGCTGTAAGATAATGAAGATAGTTTAGGGAGGCAGGATAGAGTGACTCGGACAGGGCCAGATTTGTAAATACTCTAATGTCTGCTAAGTTATTCCTTTCGTTGTTGCTGAAAGGACATTCTGAATATTTTCCCTCGGAAGGTGGCGTGGGGCTCAAAAAGCGTAGATGGAAATGTCTTTTTTGGACACGGCTACTATCCGAGAGGCTATCCCAACTATCAGTTATTCATTCAGGCCGCATGGAAGGATCCTTGTGGCTTGTGTTGCGCGTAGAGATGCTGGGGAAAACATTTATTATTTGTTGCTGTGCTGCAAATGGTGAATGAGTCGAGGAGCCCGGCCAAAATTATGGGTCTCTGTAGCAGTAGGTGTGTCCTGCAAAGTGCATTTCTCTTTTGTTTCTGTTGAAGCTTTCGTAATGTACTAACTCGTTTAGATTCATGCATGTGATGTGAGGAGTCTTGTGGTTCTTCGTTTTCTTCTCTTTGTTTTCTCTGTGTATCTCTTGGATTTAGGTTAGAGTTTGTCAATGCTCATGTTTTTTCATGGCAACAATGAATCGAGAAGAGGGATGGAAAAGTAATAGTTACAATCCATTTAGATGACTCTTTATAATTATAATTGATCAGTAAAGAATGATTCCTGATATTTACGCAGTCAAACCAGGGAAAGTTATCCGTACTTTTTATCTTCTTCGTTAGAGGTGGACATGATTTCATTTGGTTCTAATTCTAAGAGAATTGAATCATGCACCAATGATTTTTAGAGATATGAAACGTTTGGTTTGGTTTGATTCTAGTTTCAATACTGATTAAGAAAAAAAAGAATATTTGAGGAAGAATAATAGAAGGTGGAGGCTTTAATTTCAAAACTCCATGGGACGATAGTTGGCAAGCGCGATGGTAGACGGCATGAGGCAGTTGTTGGTCTCCATGTGAGAGTCGGTGTATAAATTGAAAATAAGAGAATGAAAATTGAATTAAGGTCTGAATCTCCAAAATGAATTAGGGTCTCCAAAATGAGAAGTGAAAAACCAAATGTACATAATTTTTTTGTCCTGATTTTTAATTGAATTTTGAAAATTTTGGTTTGAATTGCGATTCACTAATTTGTAAAATAAATACATATATATATAAAATAATAAAATTTAAGTATTGAGTATAGTTTTTGGATTTAGAACTAAAATCTAACTAGAACCTAATTGTTTTCATTGCTGAGAACCGTAATCGGTAATTTTTTTTTTTTTTTGTAAAATGGAATCAAACCGAACCACTCGATTTGGTTTGAATCTGATTTGATTTGGTCATTTTGTCCGCTCCCATTCTTCACTATTACATCCCTTAGATATTTCATTTCATCTCCTACCAAACATGTCATTGACTAACCCCCTTAAACCCTCTTTGTCAAACAACGACTCATGGCACCTAGAAGTCATCGCACCCACCCCCTCTAACCCCCATCTTCCTACGACGGCTTTTCACAGCACCTAGAAGTCATCGTACCCTTTGTTGGTCACTAACCTTTTACCCCCTTGACGAGTCCGCCACATTCCCACGCGTCCCACGGCTCCATTCTAAATTGTAATAATAATTAGTCAATTGACCAAATTACCCACGGTCTTGTTAAGGCCTCGTTGGTCTTCCATTATTCCATAACATTGTTTGTTGCAGACTGCATTAAGATTTTTCACCACACATTCACGAAATAAAATATTTTATACAAAAATCAATAAAGTTAATTTAAATTTCAACCACACATTCTCCAAAAAATACTATTTATTACTCAATTTCTTCTACAATAATGGGTGACAAACACACACTAAAAAGAAATGTTATTTCCCATTGCACCAAATTCACCTAAAAAATGTTTTATAGTAAAAAGATTATTTTGAGCTTCGAACATCCCATCTCAAACATCTAACCTTAAAACATATAAAAAATTCACAAATTTATTAAAAAATTAAACAATGCCAAATTTATTCCTATTTAAAGTGATTTTAGGCTTTTTCTACGTATAGATTTGCTTTAGAAAGAACGACTAAAAAATAAATAACAAGAGCTTGTTTGAGCTCGTTTTTATTTTTTTAAAAAAAATGTATTTTTGAATAGCGTATTAATGAGAAATGTGTGATTAAAAAATAAGAAAAATTTTCGAATTTGCGTTTGATTGAAATGTGATCAAAATACTATTTAAGACTGAATTTTTTTTGAAAATTGGGGTTCGAACAAGGGCTAAATTTTTAGAATTCAAATAAAAAAGTTTGAAAAATCATTGAGGACAGTTTCGTCATTTTAGTCCAAATGTCATTCTTTTATATTTCATCACTCTCAACCTTCTCTCTATCTCCTCAATACATTTCACGGGAGTTCTCAACAACAATGGAGTCAGCTACGCTTTCGCAGATTGGACTTGCAGGCCTGGCAGTAATGGGTCAGAACCTGGCCCTGAACATCGCCGAGAAGGGCTTCCCCATCTCCGTCTACAATCGGACCACCTCTAAGGTAGACGAGACTGTGGATCGAGCCCAACGCGAAGGTGGGCTCCCGCTGTTCGGCCAGTATAGCCCGAAAGAATTCGTTCTGTCCATCAAAAAGCCCAGGTCCATAATCATCCTAGTCAAAGCCGGAGCTCCGGTTGATCAGACAATTGGCGCTTTATCGGCCCACATGGACCCCGGCGATACGATTGTCGACGGAGGTAACGAGTGGTATGAAAATACTGAGCGACGTGTGTCGGAAGCCTCTGCAAAAGGGCTTCTGTATTTAGGAATGGGAGTTTCGGGTGGAGAAGATGGGGCCCGGAATGGGCCCTCTTTGATGCCTGGAGGATCACATACGGCATATCTGAATATACATCATATATTGGACAAGGTGGCGGCGCAGGTGGATGATGGGCCTTGTGTTACTTATATAGGTGAAGGGGGGTCGGGGAATTTCGTGAAAATGGTGCATAATGGGATTGAGTATGGTGATATGCAGCTGATTTCCGAGGCGTATGATGTTTTGAAGAATGTTGGGGGGTTGAGAAATGATGAACTGGCGGAGATTTTTACTGAGTGGAATCGTGGGGAGTTGGAGAGTTTCTTGATTGAGATTACTTCAGATATTTTCCGGGTTGAGGATGAAGAGACTGGAAATGGCCATTTGGTGGATAAGATTTTGGATAAAACTGGGATGAAAGGTACTGGGAAATGGACTGTTCAGCAGGCCGCTGAGCTGTCCATTGCAGCACCCACTATTGCGGCTTCGCTAGATTCTAGGTACATGAGTGGTTTGAAGGAGGAAAGGGAGGACGCGTCCAAAATTTTTGAGAAGGAAGGGTTGAAGGAGGACATTAACAATGTGGGCTTGGTGGATAAGAAGAGGCTGATTGATGATGTTAGGCAAGCACTTTATGCTTCCAAGATCTGTAGTTATGCACAAGGAATGAATTTGTTGAGGGCGAAGAGTTTTGAGAAGGGGTGGAATTTGAATTTGGGGGAGCTTGCGAGAATTTGGAAGGGCGGGTGCATTATAAGAGCTGTGTTCTTGGATAGGATCAAGCAAGCGTACCAGAGGAATCCACAGCTTGCGAATTTGTTGGTGGATCCAGAGTTTGCTAGGGAGATGGTGCAGAGACAAGAAGCGTGGAGGAGAGTCGTGGGGTTGGCAATTCAGAAGGGTATCAGTGTCCCGGGGATGTCTGCTAGCTTGCAGTATTTCGATACTTACAGGCGTGGGAGGCTTCCTGCAAACCTTGTGCAAGCTCAGAGGGACTACTTCGGTGCGCATACCTATGAAAGGATTGATCGTCCAGGAGCATACCACACCGAGTGGTCAAAGCTTGCTCGAAAGACCAGAGCGTAACACTGATGGTTCCGTTGAGGTTTGGTTGGTATAATTTAGGTCTGAAATTGCTCTATGATAGGTGTTCTTTTGGCATTTTTGTAGCCTCATTGTTAATTCTGAAGTTAATAAGGGTAGCTTGCCTTTTCGAATTTTTTATGGTTGTTTCAAACAATTATATCTATTGCAATTGAGATGTTCAACTATCTTCATTGCCCTTTTGTGTCTTGTGCGACATTTTTTTTTTCTTGCTGTGCTCCTTTATACTGATTATCATGTTTATGTCAGTTTCTTTACAGTTGAAGAATTATCTATACATATATGAGTAAGAACTTTGATATGATTTCTTGCATCTCATTAGCGGTGGCAACGAGCCGAGCCGAGCCGGGAAAAAAAAGCTCGGGCCGAGCCCGAGCTTTTTTGGACCGAGCTTTTTTTGGCCCGAGCCGAGCCGAGCCGGGCCCGACCAAAAAAAATTAGGCTCGGCCCGAGCTTTTGGCCCGAGCCTTAGCGGGCCGAGCCGAGCCCGGGCCGAGCCGGCTCGGTTTTTTTTTTTT